TTTAAAGAAAACAGGATCTGGAAGTCTACGTAGACTATGATACCATTTTTATAAAACTCATGAACAATGTACCTTTTTTGTTTTTGTTTTTGTTTTTGTTTTTGTTTTTGAGACAGAGTCTCACTTTGTTGGCCAGGCTAGAGTGAGTGCCGTGGCGTTAGCCTAGCTCACAGCAACCTCCAACTCCTGGGCTCAAGCAATCCTCCTGTCTCAGCCTCCTGAGTAGCTGGGACTACAGGCATGCACCACCATGCCCGGCTAATGTTTTTGTATATATATTTTTAGTTGGTCAATTAATTTCTTTCTATTTTTAGTAGAGACAGGGTCTCGCTCAGGCTGGTTTCGAACTCCTGACTTGGAGCAATCTGCCTGCCTCAGCCTCCCAGAGTGCTAGGATTACAGGTGTGAGCCACTGCGCCCGGTCAACAATGTACCTTTTGATATCCTTTGAGTCATTAAAAAAAAAAAAGAAATTAGTTTAAAAATATTATTTAATATATATAAAAAAGAAAAAAACCACAAAAAACTCATGAACAAGAGAATATTCATTTTAAGGAAATCAAGTCCTTTGGTAACTTCAATACCGCACGCGACAAGGGGTGTGCTCCACTGATGATTCCAGATATAAACGCATTTGTCTGGCTCCATCCTCAGAGAAGTCAAGTTCAAACTGTGCCTGTGTCCTGGCCAAAATCACTTTGGCAGAAGGAAAAGTAGAACATTCCTATAAACGTTAACTCACATTTATTTTCGTCCATATTGTTCCCAACAAGCATTTTGTGACAAGCAGTTCAAGAGGGCTTACTAAATGCCTGTCACTCGACTCCTTCCTCAAATCCTATCAAGATTATAGGAGAACATGAAAATAAATGAAATAGTACAGCACTCAAAGCTAGAAAGACCACTGGCAGCCCCAAACCGAGAGGACTGTCTAGAGAAAGCAGGACGGATGACACCCTCAGTTCCACCAGGGAATCTTCGAGTCCGTCCAGGCATACTACCCGTCACGGTTCTCAGGCAGACTTGGGCTCACTGCATCGGAAGAGGATTTACTCAAAGCATTCGGGCAGGATTATAGGAAGGTCGGAGACCAGGGCTTGGGAGAGAAGAGGAACCAAATCACCTGCAGGATCTGGGAAGTGGGAACTGCTTGTCACTCTTGTCAGAGCCTGGTACTGTGTGAATAAGCTTCAGCTCCTTTTCCCCTCCCTGCCCGAATCTAGCCAACATATAAAGTTCCAGAACAAGAAAGGAAGTTGATTAGCCCAGTGTGGGGCAAGAAGGCAAAAGCCACGTGACTGAAACCCCACCAAACTGCATACACTAGGGAGAAGTGCAATAATATCCCAAATCTTGGTGCTGCTGCCGTGCAATGGGAATCGATGCTGGATGGCCAAAGAAACACACAATCGTTACAACTGGGCCTTTAAAAATAATTGATACAACAAAAAATTAAAATTCAAACTCCCATATGATCCAGAAATCCCACTTCTGAGCATACATCTGAAAGAAGTGAAGGCAGGGTCTTGAAGGGATGTTTGCCTACCCATGTTCCCAGCAGGTCTTATTCACAATAGCCAAGAGGAGGAAGCAACCCAAAGGTCCATCCATGGGTGAATAAGCAAAATGTGGTTCTATACACACAATGGACTATTATCCAGCCTTGCAAAGGAAGGAAATTCTCACACATGCTATCACATGGATGAAACTTGAGGGCGTCATGTTAAGTAAAATATGACACAAAAGGACAAATATTATATGATCCCACCTAACTGCGGTACCTAGAGTAGTTAAAACCATAGAAACAGAAAGCAAGCAGAACGGTGGCTGCCAGGGACCAGGGGAGGGGAGAATAGGGCGCTAGTGTTTAATGGTAACGGAGTGTCAGATGTGCAGGATGAAAGAGCTCCGGAGATCTGGGTCACAGTGATGAGAATATACTTAACATTACTGAACTGCGGTAAGGTGGTAAATTAAGTGGTAAGGTGGTAAATTTTATGTTATGGGATTTTTACCAGAATAAAAAAAAGAATACAATAAATAGCATAAGCGTAGAACCCAAGAGTAATCTTAAAGTTGAGTGTTAACAGGGGCTTGGAGACCCCAAATTAGTAATACAAGCTTCAATTTGCTCAGGAAAAATTGGTAATAAATTTATTATCAGGAAAAACTGGTATAAATTTAATACCTACTTCATAAGGTAGTTTTGAAGATTAAATGAGATAATTTGTATCTAGTTCTTAGCACAATGCCCAGCACCTAACAAGGACTTCACAAATGTGCATATTTGGCAAATACTGACACATGGTAAAGAACAAAAGCGGTGGCTCACACCTGTAATCCTAGCATTCTGGGAGGCTGAGGCTGGAGGATTGCTTGAGCCTAGGAGTTCAAGACCAGCCCGAGCAAGAGAGAGACCCCGTCTCTACTAAACATAGAAAAAATTAGCTGGGTGTGGCGGTGCATGCCTGTAGTCCCAGCTACTCAGGAGGCTGAGGCAGGAGGATCACTTGAGCCCAGGAGTTTGAGGTTGCTGTGAGCTATGATGATGTCACCACCTCTACCTGGGCAATAGAGTGAGACTCTATCTCAAAAAAAAAAAAAGCACAAAAGGCATATTTGACAGTATGGATAGTGCTACTCCATTTATGTAAAAACCAAAGAAGTATGTGTATAAATGTATGTAAGTAATATAAATATACTTAAACAAGAAGATAGGAAATATGGCTCAACCTTTAACAGTAATTCTCCTAAAGAAGCATTTTAGGACTTGGGTTGTGCAAATAAAGGGTGGGAAGAAGAAGTCACTGCTATAAGGAAAAATACAAAACTGTTTGAATTTTTAACATTATTCATGCTTTATGCTTTTACTTGAGTGTGGGATAAAATGTAATTGAATACATATACTTACTATATCCTGACTGTATACCCGAATAGGAGTTAAGCATACAACTTGGGATAAATCATATCTGCCTTCAAACTTCTTATCATCTAATTGGGAGCTGGGCATGGATATCAGCTACATGGGAGGATCACTTGAGTCCAAGAATTCAAGACCAGCCTGGGCAACTTAGTGAGACCCCATCCCTAAAAAAAAAAAAAAAAAAAAATCCAATTGAAAAGATAGGACATTTACTTAAGATAAATAACAGCATAGGGTAGGCAGACTGTATGTTAAGAGCCATCCAGATGATACAGACCAGAAGCCCTTACAAGATTTCAGCAGGGAAAGGCATCACTAGTGGGTAGGGACACTGGGGAAGACCTAAAGGAGAAGACAGAGCTTCAATCGGGTCATGAAGCAAGGACTTAAATAGGAAGAGAAGGGAGCTGGCGTCCCAGGGAGGGGGTGGGGCAAAAGCAAGGGACCCGGGGGTGGGAATGTTCAAGACATACCCACTGAGCATGAGTAGGTCGCTTGGGGTAGAAAGACAGTGTTACTCGGCCCGTGCAGAGCAATGCCATGAGGCCCGGCTGTGGTGGGCACCAAATGCCACAAAGAGAGCTTTGCTTTAGCCGCTGGGCCCTGGGGAGCCACTGGAAGCTCTCCAGGCAAGTGACATATGCAAATAATTCAATAATTTAGAAAGATGAATCTGGGTGTGCATTAGAGAAAACACTAGATAGTGAGAGATTTAGGGAAGAGTTATGTGAAGAAGGGATTCGTGCAATCTATGTGAGTTCATGGTGACCTGGTCTAAGTCAAAGGATTAAAACTAGAAAGGAAAGTGAAAATAATGAATTATTTTAGGTGCCAGGCACTGATCTAAGTGATACACATGTCTATATGTTCCATATTTGTTAATATAACCATAGCTTATAGAGGCTATATTAAAGAGATAGGCTTGAAGAGATATTTGCATACCCATGTTCATAGCAGCCTTATTCACAACAGCCAAGAGGAGGAAGCAACCCAAGCGTCCATCCATGGGTGAATAAGCAAAATGTGGTTCTATACACACAACGGACTATTATCCAGCCTTGCAAAGGAAGGAAATTCTCACACATGCTATCACATGGATGAAACTTGAGAGCATCATGTTAAGTAAAATCTGACACAAAAGGACAAATATTATTATGATCCCACCTATCTGAGAATTTATCTAATTCTCCCAGCAACCCTACAAAGGGGATGTCATTCTTGTCCCATTTTCCAGAAAAGGAAACTGAGGCTAGAGAAGTTGAGTTACCTGCCTCAGGTGACATGGCCAAGACATGGCAGAAAGAGAACCCCAGCCTGTGCAGACGGGCTCCAGAGCCCTCACCCATCCCCACTGTCCTGGAAGGGGAGTCAGGGAGAAGGAAAGGGAAGGCAGAACCGGGTGGCGGCTGGCGTGTACGGGGAGGAGGACAAGTCAAGTTGAGAAGCCTGTGAGATGGAGGATGCTAGCTCCAAAGGATGAAGGGGACAGAGAGCAAACCCAGTGACATCAGGGCTACAGAGGAGAGTAGACACCCAACATTAGTCGTTCTTTTTTTTTTAAGACAGAGTCTCACTCTGTTGCCCAGGCTAGAGTGAGTGCCATGGCATGAGCCTAGCTCACAGCAACCTCAAACTCCTGGGCTCAAGCGATCCTCCTGCCTCAGCCTCCCAAGTAGCTGGGACTACAGGCATGCGCCACCATGCCCGGCTAATTTTTTCTATATATCTTTAGTTGGCCAATTAATTTCTTTCTCTATTTATAGTAGAGACAGGGTCTCGCTCTTGCTCAGGCTGGTTTCAAACTCCTGACCTTGAGCAATCCGCCTGCCTCGGCCTCCCAGAGTGCTAGGATTACAGGTGTGAGTGAGCCACCGTGCCCGGCCTCATTAGTTGTTCTTAACCTAGTGAGACAGGAGTCACTGATGTTTTTAAGCATCTGATGAAAAGAATGAGCTATCTTAATAGGAAAAAAATCCACGTGGACAAACAAAACACTGCACACAACTTCAGCAGGTTCACAAACTCCAGTTAAGTCTTGCCCTAGATAGACCACGTAAATAATTCAATTATGGACATATCTATAGTAGAAATTTTATTTCCATTCATAAAATATATCACTAAATAGCTGAAAAAGTTACATATTATTTTAAAACATAGATTTCTTTTAAAAATCATATTAGCTTCTCCTTAGCAAAATGCTTTTTTGTTTTATGTATTCACAAGAATATGCTATACTTCGGGTTCACCGGTTTCACTCAAGCCAGCCCGAGAAGCCCCGTGGACGTGGGTAGCTGCTCCAGTAAAGTTCATTATCGGCTCCTCCTGCCTTGGGCACAGGATACTTTGATTTTACAAAAGTCCCTTTGAAAACAAGAGTCAATGCAGACAGCTTCTAGAGAAAAATCTGGCAAAGCAGCAGTTGATACTATATTTTCTTTTAGAGATAAAAGTAATCTTGCTTCGGTAATCTACAGCCTGTTTAAGGTAGGCGGGGAGGATGAAGTCCTTACGACTCCTAAATTGTTTCTCTATGAATCTGCGACCTGATCCTGTGGAGTGGGTGGCTCTGAATCCATCTCTCTGCTAACAGGTCGCCTGCTTGGGTAGGTGGAAGAGCGTTCCGTGATCCGGCCATCCATGTTCTGATACATCTGAAATGGGAGAGAGACAGGACGCCGGTTACCATCTCATTAAGGCTTACACGTTACGTGCCTCCATTGCAAATTATTTAAATAAAAATGATGGTTCTGTCTAGATGATTGCTTTTAAGATTTTTTTATTGATAACGTAATGTACATATTTTCAGGGTACGTGTGTGAACTTTGACTTTATTGTGCACAGGTCTTAGAGGATATTCTACATATTCATTGACCGAGCAATTTTGGTCCTTTTATTAACGGAAAAATCAACTCATAGTCAAATATTTTGTTTCCTTATTGAGTCTATTCTTAGATATCAAATGTCACCTAGAAACCCTAAAACCATGCAGAAAAACCATCAAAGAGAAAGGCCACAAAAAGAGATGCAGAGGTCTGATTCTTAAGTTTTCCCTTGGGAGTTTCACAGCTTTTAAATCTTTTTCAAAATGAAAATAGATTTACTTTTTTTTTTCCAGTTATGAAGATTTTCTAGTTATAAGTAATTTAAGGTATACAGAAAAAAGAACTAAAAATCATCAGAAGTGACCACCATTATAGACAGCTTGCTGTGCACACACAATTTTGCGTCTGTAGGCTCAGGCTGTATATCCTGTTTTAGAACCTTGTTTTTGAATTACCAGTATATTGTTATTATACTGCTCATAGGTTGCATGTGTTACATGTTTTTATTATTTTTTTTTTTTTTTTTTTCATGGCAGCCTAGGGATAGGTAGTATTGATGTGTCGTAATTTACCATTTGATGGACTGGTTATGTAACCCTAACTGAAAGTGACGTGTGATCTAGTCTGTCCCTGGGGTATGCGGGGACAGTGGAATTGCTGGATCAAAGGCAAGGCACACTCGCACGGTGATACACGCGGCCAGGCTGTCCTCCAGCGAGGCTGTACTTATTTCTACTCCTACCGACTGCGTCTAGGCACACTGTTTTCTACAGAGGCTTCCCAACAATGGGTCTTAATAATCTTTCCCTTAATAGTCTTTGCCCCTTGGCTGAGCAATGCGTTTTTATCTCTTTACCTGCAATTGTTTCATCAGCAGCAAAACTGAGCACTTTTGTCTATATTTTATGGCCATTTGCATTTCATCATGAATAGCCTGCTCATTTCCTTTGTCCTTTTATGTACATAAAAGGCTATACTTGTTTTTGTCATTATTTATTTATAAGAACTTTGCGGTTTAGGAATCATGCATTCTGTTTATTTAAATTTTATAGACTCCCTCCTTTCACCCAGCCCTCACTACTGTCTACTGCTTCTTGTTAGTTTGTGTTTTTGACAGTCAGTTATTCATCACCCACGGCAGGCTGCCAGTCGACAGTTCCTGAGCCTCAGAGGGAAGGGGACTTGGATATCCTGTAGGTACGGGGACATAAAAAGAGAGGCTCAAACCAAGACCCGCGTGGTCATAAACAAAGCCAAGGGGTCGCCGGTTCTACTTTCACCTTTCAACTTTGACCCCTGTATTTATTTTATTCATGCATTCTGGAATGTCCTGCTCACCATCCGCTCTCCAACAGCTGAGATGCTACTCATTCCTCACAGCCTAGCTCAACAAATCAACACCCGACCACTCAACACGTAAACATCAGTCAAGCCTCTCTCTTGCTCCACCAGCTCATTTCTGTTTCTTCCAGTTTATCTTACAGTGTCATTACCTGTTTCTAACTGTCTGCCCAATAGCCTGTAAGTCCCTAGGGGCTCTCCATCTCCCCCAACCTTTTGGCCTCATTTTCTGATAATAACTTAGCTTCTATATGTGATTTTTTAAAAAAAACTTATAACCATCCACACAGCTCTAAGAGAGAACACAGATTGAAAACAGGCTCTTAACAACTTAGAAAACAGGAAAGAGAACCCATTGAAGGAATCAGATTTATATTCAACTAAGATTTCATTGAGTAAACACTAAGTTCCCAGTATGCACTAAAAGTCCTTTCACACACATTGTCTTATTTACTCCTCCTTACAGTTCCATAAAGTAAGATTTATTAATCTCATATTTCAGATAAGGAAACTGAGACACCTCCCCCCAAAAAAAGGTTAAGTGACTTAATGAGGTCAAATAAGAAGTAAATGATGGAGCCAAGATTTGAACCTAGGTATTGGGAGTTCAAGGCTCCAGCCTTTGTTCACTTCACCTGGGGATGGCTCACTTCACGACACCAGGTGGTGTTGGTGGGGGAAGGGTGAGCAAGTCCAAGTTCCCAAAGCTCAAGGAGCATCTAGTTTATCAACCCATTTTATAGATGGAAAAACTGAGACCCAAAGAGGTAAAGCGACTTGCCATAATGGACATGGTTATCAGGAGGCAGAGCAGTAGAGCTGGTGTTCAACCTTCATGACTCGAGGTCAGTGCTCTTTTCACTCGACCACATTACACAATGGAGTCATTTGATTATTCCACACCCATGATTCATGTTGAATTAAAAAGGGTCAAGTGGCTTCTGGAGGCCAGGGATTAAGTTTTATTTAGTTGTTTAGTCCTCTGAACTGGACACTTAAGAGCTTTTATTTTATTAATCGATTAGCCGAAATCTTCAGGAAAGGTTTTTTCCCCCCTAAAACATGTATCCAGTAAATATGTCTCATTTCATACAACGTTTACAGGGCAGCTGAGACAAACTGTGGCGAGAAAGATGGCTTGAGTGTTTTAAAGTCAGCAATGAGTGTTTTAAATTACCAGTTTCCTTTATAATATGCTTTTAGAGTCCTGGCTGCTACCTACCGCTTCTTCTGCATCGGCCAGCTGACATCCTAAAAATGAAGTCAGATTAGGGAAGGATGGCCGTTTCCTAGAGTCAAAAGCCCAGCAGGATTGCATTATGAAGTATCTGTAAAAGCAATAGAACAAGGAACAAGATGAGAAAGTATGAATGAAGCAAAACGGATAATTCTCTGCATAATGAACACCATTTATTCCTGAGAGCTACTTATTTATGGCAGGTTTGTTTTGTGGCAAGTCTTCTACTAGATTTTGAACTCATATCAAAAAGGATAAATCAGATGATAGATAGAAATGTGTTTAAAGAAATATGGCCGGGCGTGGAGGCTCACGCCTGTAATCCTAGCACTCTGGGAGGCCAAGGCGGGCGGATCGCTCAGGGTCAGGAGTTCAAAACCAGCCTGAGCATAGAGCGAGACCCTGTCTCTACTAAAAATGGAAACAAATTAATGGCCAACTTAAAATATGCAGAAAAATTAGGCACAGCGCATTGGTGGCGCATGCCTGTAGTCCAGTAACTCGGGAGGTGAGGCAGGAGGATAGCTTGAGCCCAGGAGTTGGAGGTGCTGTGGAGCTAGGTGATGCCATGGGCACTCTAGCCCAGGCAACAGAGTGAGACTCTGTCTCAAAAATATATATATATATGATATAGGAAACGGAGTCTAATCACCCTCACGGATCCTTCAAGCAGAGGAATTAAAATCTGGAAGTCAGGGGACAGAAAAAGTTCAGCTTTGTTTCAAAATCCCCGGAACAAAAAGGAAGAATTTTCTTTTCTTTTTAAAGAGAAATCACATGAACTTCGCTTTCAGGAATTTTTTTTTTTACCTTTTTTGGTCATGCATTTGGAAATAGGCTGTAAATTTCTACTTTCAACCAATGGACAGTCTGATTTGAACTTACATTTCTTCCGTAGCATAAAACGGCTGATCCATTTTAAACCCACTCTGAATGAGTTTATAGAAGTTAGCATCAACCGGAATGCCAGGGTAAGGATTCACACCTGAGAAAAACATTAGAGAAGTACAGCCATTCATTCATGTCTTCGCTCGCCTGTGTATCGATTCAGTCAATTAAGCAACATGTATTGAGAGCTCCCAGGGGCCGGGCACTGCTTGGTGCTGGGGCTGCAAGGGGAAGACACAGTCTCGGGTCCTGCTCTCAAGCGAGTTACAGACCGGTGAGAAAGACAGATCTATGGACACCAGCAAAGAAACATACAGTGGCACTGGCTGCCATTGACGTAAGACCAGTGGAGGTGGCACCCTGGCTGACTCAGGAGGTGGCAGACTCAGGAGCGGTGCAGAGAGAGCAGGATGCGCAAAGCCCGGAGCCAAGGAGGCCAGCGAGCTGCCCAACGTACCGAGTGAGAAGATTTCCCAGAGCAATATTCCGTACGACCACACGTCACTCTTAATCGTGTAGATCCCTTCAAATAAGCTTTCTGGAGCCATCCATTTCACAGGCAGACGGGCCTGCGTGAAACCCAAAAAGGAGATGAGATGGTTGAATTTCCCACGTGCAAACATTCTTTTTTTTCCAGTTTTGAGATTATTTTATTCGACTCCCTAGGTTATAAATAAGAAAAGCCTAAGCCCAGAGAGGTGCAGTAATGTGAGCCAAAGTGTTACAGCAGATTTAAGATAAGCCAGGATCAAAGTATAGGTTCTTTGACTCCCTGAAATAATTAGATGTGGAGAATCTTTGCACCCTATTTTGAAAATATATCAGACAAAGAATGCATTGGAGGCCGGGCGCGGTGGCTCACGCCTGTAATCCTAGCACTCTGGGAGGCCGAGGCGGGCGATTGCAAGGTCAGGAGTTCGAAACCAGCCTGACAAGAGCGAGACCCGTCTCTACTATAAATAAGAAATTAATTGGCCAACTAATATATAGAGACAAAATTTAGCGGCATGCGGCGCACACATGCTGTATACCCAGCTGCTCGCAGCGAGCGTTGACACAGTTGCTTGACGAACCCGGAGTTTGAGGTTGCTGTGAGCTAGCCTGACGCCACGGCACCACTCCAGCCTGGGCAACAGAAGAGACTCTGTCTCAAAAAAAAAAAAAAAAAGAATGCATTGGTAAACAATTTAAACATTTGAGCAGCAGAATAAATCAAACAGTTTTGCTTTATATTTCATTGGGACAAACGTTGCTTCTCTTAGGAGTTAGGTGACGAAATGCATTATCTTCCTAAGGCACTTCCTAATGCTCAGTTGAGATAATCACATTCCTCCAGTGAAAGTTTGTTTTGTTTTTTTTTGAGACAGAGTCTCACTTTTGTTGCCCGGGCTAGAGTGCCATGACATCAGCTTAACTCACAGCAACCTCAAACTCCTGGGCTCAAGCAATCCTCCTGCCTCAGCCTCCCGAGTAGTTGGGACTACAGGCATGTGCCACCATGTCCAGCTAATTGTTTCTATATATATATTAGTTGGCCAATTAATTTCTTTCTATTTATAGTAGAGACGGGGTCTCGCTCTGCTCAGGCTGGTTTTGAACTCCTGACCTTGAGCAATCCACCCGCCTTGGCGTCCCAGAGTGCTAGAATTACAGGCGTGAGCCACCGCGCCCGGCCTTGTGGAAGTTTTTCACATTCGAATTTACACTGTAATAATCGTGTCCTAAAAAACAAACTGTATTTCTTTACAACTTGTCTTGAACAAAAGCTTGTGCTTGGAATTGGTGAGTTTAATGGTAGATGCTCACTTTCCACTAAGGAGCGGCCAGGCAGCTGCCTAGAGGTTTAGTGGGCACTAGAGAATTGGTGGGATCTTCTGTTAGAGCATTTCTCAGAAGACCTTTAGTGGAAATGCCATCCACAAGAATGTCACGAGGAGAGCACGTGTCATCACTTCCGGAAATGACACCAGCCTCGCTTCTGTGGCTTTTATCATTTCTAGTAGCATGAAAGGGGGGTTTCGACTTCGTGTGGTCTCAGATTAGAATCAAGACACAGGATGGGTAGTTCCTGGGGCAGGGCATTGGTGCTGATCTTCTTTTGCATTAGGAGCCCTTCACAACCCACATTTAATCTGCCAAGTAAAAATCAAAGCTCAAGAAAGAAACCCTCTTTTACATTCTGTACAAACTGATAAGCTATTGAATCAAGCAAGCTAGTCTGGTTAACTTGATTAATTAAAGGAATTAATTGTGGTCCCAAATGCAATTTTCTCCCCACATAAGAGACAACCAGCTTGTGGGGTTGGAAATTGCATAACCACTTCAGCCATAATGACTGAGGAGTAGATCTTAAATCAACTAAGACGATTATTTGATTTAATTTGATTTTTTCACATTTATTGGATGTTTACCCTGAACAAGGAGCTTTCATGTTGGTTTTATTGGTTTATTCCCACATCAGTGCTGTGAGGTAAGGGCATAACCCTCATGGGAAACACCCTATCGTAGTGGTTAGACACAGGCTTGGGTCCAGACTAGTCATGTTCAAATCCACGTGCTGTGTAACCGTGGGCATGCTACTCTTCTGGCCTCGGTTTCCTCACTCACAAACTAGGCACTTTGACAAATAAATGAATGAATATATATAAAGCACCTAGAATACTGCTTAGCACATTGTAAATACTGTATCGCCATTTAATTTTATTATTATTTCACAGGTAGGGACAATAATGCAGAGAGAAATGCCAGAAATGAGTAACCAAAAAGAAGTGGAACAGAGGCTTAAAGCCAGGTGTTATAATTCTTTCATTTACCTTATTTATTTTTGGACTGAAGCAGGGCTTTTTGAGACAGAGAGCCCACTTTAGCCTGGGCTTTGTTGCCCAGGCTAAAGTGAGTGCATGGCATCAGCCTTAGCTCACAGCAACCTCAACTCCTGGGCTTCACAGCAATCCTCCTGCCTCAGCCTCCCAAGTAGCTGGACTACAGCATGCGCCACCATGCCGGCTAATTTTTCTATATAACCATCAGTTACGTTCACAACTTAATTTCTCTATTTATAGTAGAGCACAGGGTCTCACTCTTGCTCCAGGCTGGTCTCGAAACTCCTGCGAACCTGTCAGCAAATCTGCCACCTCTCGGCCTGTCCACCGACTGCTAGGCATTACAGGTCGGAGCACCGCGCCTACGCCCAGCCTTTTGGTAATTCCTTTCAACAAAACCTGCTTTTCCAACTGCCATAGTTTGTCATCTAGTGTTTGCTGACTAGTCTCCTCTTGGCAAAACACCTCACGCTTTAGTCTTCTTATTAAACATGCACGCATCTCATTCAGCGTTTGGGCCTTCTCCCTGCTGTTAACACGCATCCGGCATGACAGAATACTTCTCATAATTTAATATTTCAAGTGTTCTGCCCTTTATTCTTGCTTCTAAATCTTCATGTAATGTGTTGTACACTTTGCAAAATGCTTTATTGTAGCTATTGGCTTTTCACATAATTGAAAACATAACTCAACGGTCACTTTATAGCTAAGGGAGCTGAACTGCAAGTAACACGCAGACCTGTGGCTGTTCTTTTTTACAGTGAGGGCACTGCCAGTCAATTAACATCTAAATTCCTGGCCAAAAAAAGAAAAACCGAAGCCCAAAAGAGCGGCTGCTGTCTTGCTCAATACGTCTTATCTGTAGACGCGTTCACTTCGAGGCCTGCACGTAGAAACCTTTTTAAGCATAAGTAAGCAAACTGCTGTGAGGGCTTTTTGACGTTACCGTAAATCAAAAACACACCACAGTAAGTACAGATGTTTGCCACGATAACGTCAAAACACAAAACAGCAGTGCAAAAGTAGGTGAGAAATAGCAGCCTCACGTTGCCCCTCACGACGTAGTTGGAATCGCTCATGATATCCCGAGCCAGCCCAAAATCGCAGATCTTCACCACCTTCCCGTGGGTGACGAGCACGTTCCTGGCTGCCAAGTCCCTGTGCACGCACTGCAAAGAAGGAAATGGCAACGTTATTCACCGTGACGGGTATCAGCCCAGAGTGCAACCTGTCTTCCAGCCTCAAGTTCAACCGGAGGCACGGATGATGGAAGGTCTGTTATCGTCACCGGGCCGTGAGCAGTCATCGTGCTGTGTGACAGACTGAGCAAACTCAGCGACCCAATTCCTCAGCTGCTGTGGCTGCAGAAATTTGTGCCTCTTCTGGAACATTCCCAGAGGCCAAAGAGGAACGGTTCTCGCAGAAAAGATCAAACTGAGCCCAGCGTTAAGTAAAGAGACTCAACCCAAGGGCCCCTCCCCGAGCCTCCAAAGCGATTTTCAGAGGCCGTGTGCCAGTGTTTCTATTGTGGGTGTGAAGAATATAATGTCTTTTCTGGCTGCGAAATAGCTGTGGGAATACAATGGAACATAATCGGGAAAAAAAAAAAAAAACTAAAAATGAGTTCGGGGAGGCTGACTAAAGTGGAATTAGAAGAAGTTCCTGAACTGAGAGATGTCATGACATGAATTCAGAAGGTCTGGCAAGAAAATTGACTCTGCGAAGGAAGATTTGAAAAGGAACAGGGCTCTAGTAGCAAAGGTCCGATGGGCTCTCTTCAGTCTTTAAAAAATAAAAGCAAACACTATAGAAACAAAAATTCCTGTGCCACCACCCCTGTAGCACTCCCTCCTCCCGTGCCCAGTTTTGTGAGTGCCATCTATGAACGCTTCATTTCACCCACTTTGCCACCAGGGCCCTGCAACATGCCCCCACCTCCCACTTCTCTGCCCAACCTGCTCTGCCTGGGGCCCCCGCTGACGGGCGTGGCACCCCCCAGCCTCGGCTTGATTGGACCCCTCTGTGGCCTCTGGCACTGTTGGCAGCCCCTCCCGCTTCAGGTCCACCCTTCTGTGAATTCTGTGCACACCTCTCTCCTGTTTTCTTCCTACTGTCCTGGTGGCTCCTGTTTCCGTCAGGGCCTCTGTGCATGAACCCAGTTCCTTAGGGCTGCATCTTCTTGCTCCACACCCTCCCCCAGGCCACCTCATCCAGACCCAGGGATGCCACTGCCATCGCCCAAATGTCCACTTCCAACCTGAACGTGTCTCTTGAGCTGCAGATGGGCGTGTCCAAGAATCCACCAGACTGAGCTCTGCGTGGTTGCCCAGGGCACCTCACGCTCCATACGTCTAACTCGTTACCTTTATCCCAAACAATCTCTCCCTGATTCCACGTCCCCTGTCCTGTCCCGTGTTCCCTGCTGGTTTTCCTTTTCCTTCAAAACTCTCCTCAGCCCAAGCACGAACTCCTTCAGAAAACCTTTTCTTCTCATCTCCACGCCCTGCCCCCAGCAGTTCAGTGTGCACGTTGCTGCCGGGGGTTCCCAGAACTGACTTCGATCACAACACTTATCTCGCTACCGTGTCACCTCTGCTCGCCTCCCCCCTATCAACCACGAGATCTTCGAGCCCGGGAGTCATATCACAGCCGACTCTGATCTCCACACCCAGCACCCTGCGTGGCATGCGGGCAGGGCTCAGCAAGTGTGTGATGAAGGCAAGAGCCTACGAAGGAAACTGAGGGGCGGCCAGAGAAGTGGGGAGACAGGGACAGGCAGGGGACAGTGACATGCGTGACTCAGAAGGGAAGGCCTCAAGTGAAGACGAAAAAAGGAGGGGGTCTAAGAAACTGGGTATTTTTCAAAGCTTCATGTGGTTACAAGCCCGGGGTGGGGGGGTGGAGGGAAGGAAGCAGGGCGTCCCGATGGCCAGCTGAGAGCGGTTTGAGCCTTTACTTAACTACGGGCAGCGAACAACCAGACCCAACCTGTAGCTGCTGTCTGGCATCAGCGGAGACACTCGCGAACGCGCTGTCGTGGGTGTGTGTGGGGGGGACTACACACGAACACCAGCGTGGGCGAGAGGCTTGAGAAACGGGTGATCCAAACAGCAGGGAGGGGTGATGAGAGGAAGAACGTGCCTCGGAGCTGAGGTGTGGGGAAAATATTACCGAGACTAATTTTTTAAGGGAAAAATAAAATACAGTTGAAATTAGTCTCTATAAACTCAGAGAGAAAAGAGGCGAGAAGAGGCAAAGGAAAGGGAATAGAGAAAACAGAAGACAGGCTCACACCTGTAATCCCAGCCACTTGGGAGGGTGAGGCGGGAGGATTGCGGTTCGAGACCAGCTGGGCAACATAGCCAGATCCTCATCTCAAAAAAAAAAAAAAAACAAAACACAAAAAAACAAAAGAAAGAAAGAAAAAGGGGAAGAGGTTTGGGAAATAAAGAGAAGGCAATAAAAGGCAAGAAAATGTGGAAAGAAAGCAGCCCCACAGGAATGGCTTTTATCTGCTTGTAGTCATGAGACATTTGAAATGGCAGAGACCAGCAGGGCTGAAAGGCAATAAAGACGGAACACAAAATCGGGGTAGAGGGCATGGTTTGAGGCAGGCCCCAGGGCCTTAGCAGCACGGCCCCAGTGGATCTGGGACTAGCAACCAAGGAGGCGAGCGCTCACGGCTGCCGCTAGCCCACAGCAACCTAGTGCAAATTAGACGAAGACACTCAGCCCAGCCAGCAGAGCGCCGGCTTTTAGCCTCCACTCACCTGCTGAATCAGATGGCCATGCAGGGCACAACCTGAACAACTGTCCACGAGAGACTGACAGTGCTATGCTTCACTTTGAGGAGGGATTTCTGAGGATTTCCTATCCTGACCTTCTCTGCCCTGGAAGTTTCTGGGGACTCCAGAGAGCCAGGGAAATCCAGGCTCTGCTGGCTGAAACCTCATAAGGGATCCTGAGCCTTTATGCCACAATCAGTCACAGTCACTCCGACAGCGAACAGGGGGAAAACACAGACTTTAAGGGACATAAGTTAAAATAAACAAAAAAAATATATAAGCACATATTTTTCATAATTTAAAATATTTTTTTTTGTTTTTTCTTTAAAAGGAGCTTACCGACTTCAATTCCAGAAATTCCATTCCTTTGGCAACTTGATAAGCAAAGCAAAGAAGATCTTCAAATGTAAGTACATTCAAGTCCTCTTCTTCTTCCAGCCTTTTTTGGTTTTCATATTCAAGTTCATCTGTAAAATAGAGCCAGTCTTCACTCCTGCCAAACCCTAGGAGGCTGCCTGATTCAATCTCTACGGGAGGCCAGAGCTGGGTGGGGGCTACCACGCGAAACTACCAGCTTCCCGGCAGCACTAGAGCTGACCTGGTGACGCTGACAGTTTTGCAGCCTATGAAGGGTCACAGGAAGATTGTTTTTGGTTAGAGATGAATTCCCCAGCTGCTTTGATGACAGATGGCCACTTCGTTAGTCAGGAGTTTTATTATTATTATTTGAGACAGAGTCTCGCTCTGTTGCCCGGGCTAGAGTGCCGTGGCATCAGCCTAACTCACAGCAACCTCAAACTCCTGGGCTCAAGCGATCCTCCTGCCTCAGCCTCCTGAGTAGCTGGGACTACAGGTGTGCACCATGATGCTCGGCTAATTTTTCTGTTTTTAGTAGAGACAAGCTCTAGAGACGGGGTCTTGCTCTTGCTCAGGCTGGTCTTGAACTTCTGAGCTCAAGCAATCTTCCTACGTTGGCCTCCCAGTGTGCTAGGATTACAGGCGTGAGCCACGGCACACCACCTAGTCAGTTTTAGATGTCCTTTTTTTTGCACCAGCTAGTTTTGTCACATTGGGAAAGGAATTAATGTTAATATAATGTCTATCACATTTTATGAACTGTATTGCACATTTAATGTTCTTCCATTTGCTCCTTTTAACAGTCCTATGAGGAAGGTAGTGTTAGGCCCATTTTATAAATAAGAAAATTATGATTTTTTTTTTTTAGTACACTCTCAAAGATAGTAGAGAGTGGACTGTTCCAATAAGGAGCTGTTAGAAAATTGTGCTTCCAATGGTTGAATAACTTGTCCAAAGTCATTCAATCAGAAAGTGAAGTGACCAGAAGTCAACCCAAATTCTGTCTGACTCTAGAACTCATTATCTTTTCCATTTATCAGGTAATAAGATGGCTCTAATTAATTTATAATTTTAAGAAGAATAACCTGACCAAATAAAATAGTTCTCAGTGTTTATTAGTTGAACATTGACATAAAATTCATGATATATAAACTGTGGCTTTTCACTATCATCCAACATTAGCAAAGAAAAAAAATGCTTTTGCCTTTACATGCTTTTTTTTTTTTTTTTTTTTTTTTTTTTGAGACAGAGTCTCGCTTTGTTGCCCAGGCTAGAGTGAGTGCCGTGGCGTCAGCCTAGCTACCAGCAACCTCAATCTCCTGGGCTCGAGTGATCCTTCTGCTCAGCCTCCCGGGTAGCTGGGACTACAGGCATGGCCACCATGCCCGGCTAATTTTTATCTATATATATCAGTTGGCCAATTAATTTCTTTCTATTATAGTAGAGACGGGGTCTCGCTCTTGCTCAGGCTGGTTTCGAACTCCCTGACCTTGAGCAATCCGCCTCGGCCTCCCAAGAGCTAGGATTACAGGCGTAGCCACCGCGCCGCCTCATGCTTTTTAAAAATAGTAACATAAAACTCTTGTGACCATTTCCATTTTCAAGTGATACTACTTAGAATAAAAATATTACCTTCGGAATGAAATAAATTCCCATGGAGCCCTGAGATCTGATCCGAGTCTTGATGCATCTGAACTTCTCTTGAACCAGGCATACTATTAAAATAAATTGTTTTCCATTATTTATGTTCTTCTTCTGAGCATTTTATAAAAAAGATTCCTCAAATAAATGATTCCAATTATAAATGGGCTTTTAAATTAAAAGCACACCATCAACTTGTCCATTTTTTTTTTAACGTACATTGAAAACATCTGTGAAATTGGGCTTGCGGGTCCAAGATAAGAGAGATCCCTGCTTTCTGTATAGAGTATTACAGTTCAAAAAGGACCTCACTCAATCCTTGCCACAAACTACAAGCTGGGTATTAAATTGCTTTTTTTTTCTGAGACAGAGTCTTGCTCCGTTGCATGGGCTGGAGTGCAGTGGCATCACCATAGCTCACTGCAACCTCCAACTCCTGGGCTCAGGTGATCCTCCCACCTCAGCCTCCGGAGTAGCTGGGACTATAGGTGAGTATCACCATGCCCAGCTAATTTTTCTTTCTTTTTTTTATTTTTGTAGAGATGGGGTTTCGCTCTTGCTCAAGCTGGTCTCGAACTCCTGGCCTCAAACAATCTTCCCCATTCAGCTTCCTAAAGTACTAGGATTACAGGCATGAGCCACGACACACAGCCTAAAGTCACATTTAATAACAGAGAAATTGGCCGGGTGCGGTGGCTCACGCCTGTAATCCTAGCACTCTGGGAGGTTGAGGTGGGCGGATCGCTCAAGGTTAGGAGTTCGAAACCAGCCTGAGCAAGAGCGAGACCCTGTCTCTACTATAAATAGAAAGAAATTACTTGGCTAAAAATATTAGCCAGGCATTGTGGCACACGCCTGTAGTCCCAGCTACTCGGGAGACTGAGGCAGGAGGATTGCTTGAGCCCAGGAGTTTGAGGTTGCTGTGAGCTAGGCTGACACCACGGCACTCACTCTAGCCTGGACAACACAGTGAGACTCTGCCTCAAAATAAAATAAATAAATAAAAAATAACCGAGAAATTAGGCTTGATGAGATAAATATGACTTGCTGATATCACATAACTAATAAAGAGTGGAAGTGGGATTCGCCTCATTCTTTGGCTTCTGCACCCAGAGCACTCTCCCTCTAAAAGCCCATGTGACACACATCGTGCAGAGAGACCTGCGCTTCACCGTCCTTCTTTTTTTGCAAGATTTGGCCGTTTGGAAGGTTCATGTCCGCTCATGGAAAGTTGATTAAATGAGGTCATAGTAAAAATCTCTTTTAAGTTATCTTAGAACTCTTCACTGAGTTGTTCTGTAAAAATGTTAAATAGATCATGACTCAATTTATTCCAACATACGGGTTTAACCCAATTCACAACTTACGAATCTTTGGGAAATAATAGTTCAACATCTGCAGAACACAAATATTCCAAAAGAAATATAACTTCAGCGCATTTAATACCCCAGTGACCAGAATGAATAAAAGAGCTAATTACTGGCTGCAGAGGGCCAGTGACACACATCCAACATGTTGGGACAGACTCTCGCTCTAGACTGTGGATGGCACCATAGAGCTCTCTTAGTGCTAGACTGTGAACTAAGAAATGGGTGTAAAGGGGAGGACTGGTGATGGGTATGACCTGGTTCGGGGCAACTGCAAGCAGATGTGCCCGGGACCCCCAGGGGGCCTTGCGGCTTTAAGATGCTGGGGGTCTGTATCTCAGACCTTCAAGGCCAAAGGCCATGTCAATCAATCCATCCTCATACTCTGAAATCCAATCTATGAGTTTAGAGCTCTTTTGTGCAATAGTCCCAGGACCTGAGCTATTCTTTATGAATATGTTAAGGTCTTTGAAAAAAGCTTTCATGCTTTCTACCAATATGTGTGAGGCAACCGGATCCTGAAAGATCGAATAATGTCCTTTTCCCAAAACCAGATAGGTCTCTAGGGTGCGATCCAGGCACAGATAGAGAAAGGCTAGTTCAGCTACAGCACCTCTACTGAAGGAAGGGAGCAGGTCTCCGAGTTCCAAATCAACAGGGAAAGTGTAACAAAGATAAGTAAATTGTCTCGGTCTCGGGACCCACAGACTACAACGATGCCTTTGGAAACTGATCAATGGAAGGTGTTTGATCAGCACACCTTGCCTACATTCTACGACATAAAATTATGAAACCTTGACCCAGCCTCTTACCTGGAATTTGGATGTGATTGGAAAGTTGGGTAAAAGCTGAAATTGTGTTCCTTGAAAATCTCTGTCCACGTCCTGTGAAATTTTTCTCTTTTACTTCTTAGGTAGTTGAGAAGATCACCATAGCAACAATATTCAAAAATCAAGTAAATTGGTCCTGAAATAATTACAGTTTTAATTATAAGTATACAAACACCAAACTGTTTTTTTTTTTTTCAGAAGTCTGTGTAGCAGACAACACATTCTCCGAGGGCTCAGTTCTCCCCAGACATTGAGACCATACTACTTTTGTGAGCCCATCTCTTCTTACACTTTAAGTTCAATTTCAGCTTTTTGTTCAAACTCCTTTGGAAAGCAGCATTTTCTTGCCTTCCTCTTTGGCCCTTGTGGCACATGTGGCCTCACCAACCCCTGCCCCCCGGGGCTCTCCACTTTGTAATCGGGAATAATACACTAGCTGCATGGTGAGAACTTGGCAAATATATGCTGATTGGTTGTTTGCCTGAGGAAGGGAAATATATTCCAGATCCTCCCTTAGATCCATTTTTCTTTTCTTCTTCTTTCAGTCCCAGCCCCAGGCCTGCTGTCCCAAAGAGGATGACCCTTTGGGCACATCATTTGGGTATTTCTGGGCACAAGTGAGAACAATCAGAGAGCACACCCCAGAGAATTCTAGGAAAGTAAAGTTTGAAATCCCAGTGTGGCTGTGCCTTGTTTGAAGACAGCCCAGCTGGAGCAGTGGCCAAGCTCTCTGGCCATCCTCGCCACTGCACTGATGCTAGCTTTGCTGCTGGGGAAGCAGCACTAATACCACAAAATGTACTTGCAGTGCCGTTGTTTTTACGTGGGCTAGAATTATGTATATTCCAATAAAGCCGGCACAAGAAGGGCATTCTTTCTACTGACCCATCTGATCTGTAGAGTGCTCAATGTCTAATTCCACGTGGGCGTGAGAGCCCACACTGTGACTGAGAAAAGAGGGGGGAAAATGAGAACAAATGTCCTCTTTGTCTTTAGGCTAAAATAGTTTTGATCAGGCGGAAACTGCCTACCTGACAGCGTGCATGCCCCCAGCAGATTCACGATGTTCTCGTGGTTTCCCAGGTGCGTCATCATCTTGAGTTCCGACATGAGTGCCTCTCTTTCGGAACTGTCTGCTTTTTCTGTCAATGAAGGGGCATTAAAAAAAAAAAATGTAAAACTCAAGGAACATAGGAATTTTCTGTCATTGAATAAATTAACATTTTCTTCAGTTAGGGGTTAATGTCCATTGTTCATCTAAATTCAAAACTATAGGAGAGTGCTCTGCAGTACGTTGGGGTAAAATGACACAATGTCTGAGAAGTACTTTAAAATATTTCTGCAATAAAGGTGAAAAAGGTGAAGAAAAAAAAACTATAGGAGAGAAACCAGCGTAAAAATCATACTTGAAGTTTGAATCATCATAGCCTGTGTTTTAAGACAGAATTTCAAAGACTCAGGAGTGAATGTCGAATCTAGCCATGTGCCTTTCCACTGGACTTTCTTCCACCTGCCAAAATAAAAATCCTCGCACTTGGCTCTCAGAGCAAAGACACACACAGAATAGTAACACATGATTTTCCTCCATAGCGCAAGTTAACGGATACGCTGAAGAGGGAAGCATACTTCTTTGTTTGTTTGTTTGGCTGTTGGATTTGTTGAAGTCATAGATGGGAGTGTCAGTGAGGGTGGTGGGCTCCTGCCTGTGGACCACGAGTCTAGAACCTTAGATTGGTCAGTAAGTCCAATGGGAGGAGGTCAAAGAGGACTAGTTCCCACTAACCAAGTTCTCAAGAGCGTCATTAACTGGGAATGAGAATTATAAGCGCTAAGCAGGCTAGAACGTACTGGTTGGCCAATGCATTCTCTCTCTCCCTGGAGAAAGGTCTAGATAGCTTGATTGCACCCATAACGCTGCTCAGAAGCACAGCACGAGACTTAGTGAGGAACTCACAGGGCGCCTGTCACTACGGCGGATGTGTGGCTGCTCCGGGCCCCCAGGCCAAGGGCAGGGTGTTTGGATTTCCCTCCCCAGGCTCCAGGCAGCCACCCCGCTGTTAGCTTATTCTCTCTTGCAGGCATAGTCTCTTTCCTTTACATTCAGTGAAGATTTTCTTTGACTTCCAGGTCCCTTATTTTGTCCTGTAAGACATGCTAGGCTTTTTGGTGTCTTCTCCAGAGTGTTGGCATCTCTATTTCAGCTAGAGCGAGCTCTCAGCGGTAGCTTTGTTTCCAAGATCTTGGCGAGGGGTGGGATTTCCTGTGTGTGTCGGGGGCCCCGAGCACATCACATGTTCACTACATTTTACAGGGACTGGGGGCTTTTCATCGTCCATGTTCTGTTCCTCATGGACAAAATAATATGTTTTATGGCAGGCTTAACTTTTTCAGAGCACTTTCAGATAGCATCGCCTGTGTCGTTCAGTCATTCAACACGTGTTTACGGAGCGCCTACTGTGCGTGAGGCCGCATGCCAGGCACTGGGGAATGACAGGTGAGCAAGACACAGCCCCTTTCTTCTGGGAGCAAGTAAATAAGCCATCGCAATATCGTGTGATAAATGCAGCGTGGCAAAGGAATGCGGGGACGCTGTGGAGTCACACAAGAGGGGCAGCTAACGTAGCATCAGAGGGGTGGGGAGAGGGACACTGACCGTCTAAGCTGAGACCGGAAGGAAAATGAGCTGGCCGGGAGGATGCCCAGCGGCCAGGGCGGAGGACAGTGCACGCTGAAGGAACGGACGGGCAAAGGCGGAGACAGGAGAGAGCATAGCACAGCACACGGGGCCCCTCCAAGGTGACAAATTCTAGGGGGAAAATACCTGCAGACAGCTAAGGTGACATTTTGCAAGGGGCTCGGTCCTGCCTGTGGCGTGAGGGAGGGCTTGCCTGGGGAAGTGTGCTGAGGCTGAAGGAGGCGTGGCAGACCCCTAAGTGAAAGGGGAAGGGGAAGCAGAAGGATCCACTTGTGCAAAGGCCCTGCGGTGGGGGTGGACAGCGCCCTGAGGAACTGAAAGAAGCCTGGTGTGCCGAGGGCGAGAGGTGCGGAGGTGAGCCGCGGAGGTGAGCCGCGGCCGACGCGTGCAGGGTTGTGGAGGAAACGTGGAGAAGGCTTTCAGAACCGTAGAGATGCCAAGGGGGACAACCGCGGCTACAGGGTGCCCGCCTTGGGGGCTGCTGCGGCTGTGCAGGAGAGAGACTGGGGCCGGGGCGGGAGTGACAGAGCTGGACACGAGAGGGCGGACTCGAGAAACACCAGCAAGGAAACATCAGGTTTCAACAGCAAGCAGGAAGCCGAAAGGAGTTGCTGAAGGGGTGTTAGAAAGAAAGAGCACGTGTCAAGGAGGAGCCCCGTGGGTTCCTGGTTCGCGATGGCGACGGCGTGGAACGTGGCTGTTCTCCGGCACTCCTTACCCATCACGCAGGGGGCAGTGCTGACGGAGGGCCGTGGCTGGGGGAGATCAGTGTCAAAGGGACTTCTGAGACATCCAAGCCCTTGGACATCAGAGCCTGACGCTCGGCAGGGAGGAGCGATCCTGCGGACTGTTGGGGTGCGGAGGGAAGCCGTGGGTGTGGAGGCGGCGGCTGCAGGGCACGTGTGGAAGGAAAGGGGAGGAGGTCCAGTAACAGGCCTGCGGGAACCCCACGAAGCAGGCTGGTTGGAAGAGGAGGAGCCAGCGGTGGACTGAGAAGAACATGGTGACCTGGAGCCCAAAGGAAGACCACATTTCTAGATGGTGTGAATGGCTGGTGGGACCAATTGTGCTGAAAGATCAACTAATGTGAGTTGATTGCAGAATGCCTTTGGGACCTCTTTGGTGGGCGGTCACGACTGACTTTAGCAGAAGAGCCGGCTGGAGGTGCTCTTGCTGAGTGAGTGGCGGTGACAGCAAGCGGAGTGAGGGGCTGGGGCGCCAGCAGGGCACGGATGGAGCCGAGAGTGGGAGGTGAGGGTACAGCGGCCCCCGTTTGCTCTTCTACCCAGAGTCTGTGTCAGAATGTAAGAAACAACTTCTGCCTGTAGCAACCGTCGCCCCAAACATGGAAGCTGATGAAAACCCAACAAAGAGAGAAGAAGAGGAAGAAGAGGTGGAGTTTTGTATTCCTGACTTGTCTGCTATATTCAGCCTTGAAGCATGGCTGAAATTAGAAGGCCCCAATCCCTGTAAAATGTGAAGTGGTGCAAGACACGAAGTGCTCGGTGGTCCCGGTACACACAGGAAGATGGCCATAAAAGGATGCCAAAAAGGACAAGGGGTGGGCAGGAAATGGTGCCTCCCATCTTTGTGCATCTTTCTTGACATCATGCCACTGTACTGTACCTTTCAGCATTTTCACTGCAACCTGGATTGAGACTCCTGTTTTACTAATTCCATAAGCTGTTGCATTCATCACCTTCCCAAAAGCACCCGATCCTAGCACCTTCCCTGCAAAGGTGAATGAAAAGCGCATTTTAAAGGTTTTCCAGTGGCATGGAAACGCTACACAAACAGCTGGAACATTTCCTTCTTACCGAACTCTAAATTTTCTCTTGGAAATTCCCACTTGAGATCATATTCATACTCTCTGAAATCAATGTAGAAGTACTCGTTATCGAGCGAGCCCGTCACGTGTACCATCTGCAGCTGGCTTTCGTACCTGAATTGCTTCAGAGAGGAAAGGATGCCTCAGTTAGGAGCAGGCAGCTATGCAGATACAGGGCACCGCCACGGATTTTTACCTCTGCTTTTACCTTTTTGTACTTGTGACAAATTAGCACGGTTAAAACGACAATGAAGAGAAGGCAGAGCCCAATTGTTGCATAGAACGAGATGCTGTCTTGGGTGAAAGGGAAGGGACCTGCAACAGAAGAGCATCACCCAGCAATGACACGAAACTCCTACGTGATGTCACAGACCGCTCGTTATCATCTCTCACTTCCTGTTTCAGTAATCACGGCTTTCAGTCCCTAGGAGCACGCTGCATATACTCCACCCGCCACCGAGAACCAGGCATACCCCTTTTACGGGACAAGTCTCCTTCCTAGAAAATTTGTAAATAAACCTGAACCCCCTTTTAAAAACCATTTACTAGGATTATAAGAATTACATCAATTTAAACCCACAGGACGTACAAGTCAGAGAAAAAGAAAAGTCTGTGTTCCTTCTATGAAGGTCTCCTATGACCGTGGGGAAGCTAGTTTTGTGCTGCTGGTCATTCTAAACTGACAGTGTGGGCGGCCAGGTTCCAGAATCGTTTAACTTAGGAGGGCTCCAAAAAACAAACCCCAAATTATAAAACAGCACGCTAAAGGCAAACAGGGAGATTTTTAAACAAAAGGGAAAATGACGGAGACTCTCAATTACTAAATCTGCTTCTCTAGAGTCAGATCTCGCAGTGGAGATTCCTTATACTGGGAGTCGACGGTTTTCTATGTCGCTGTCACTCCTGAGTTGTAATAGTGAACGTGGAACTCCGCCCCAACCTGCCAAGCAGTCTACGTTACCGGGGAGTCCTGCCTGACTCAAAAAGCCTTCTTTTTCTCACATGCTGAACCTATACTCTCTTGTAAAAGTCCCCAGATAAAAGCCAGCGACAGGGACTAACTTCTGGCGGGGAATTCCAGACAGGGGGTATCACTAATGCAACAGCAGCAGCTGTGTGGATACCTGGCGAGTTCAACAGGATGGTTTCACAAGATGTGCCAACGGAATTGTATGCGCAGCACTTGACGAGGAGCCCTTTCACGGCCTCGCTCATGTTTAAAGTACTGCTGGACACCCACTGTCCAAACACCTTCCTGTTGGCCTTTCTATTCCAGATGCCTTCTGTGATTTCCTCTGTGCAGCTGAAAAGAAATGGCAGACAGAAAAGTTAGACCGGCGGGGCTGCCGGCAGATGGGAAGTTAGGGTTCTGCGGTGAGTTCTAAAATGAGATTCATCTATTAGACGTTATCAGGAAACAATCTATGTATGACCATTGAGAATTAGGGGTGATTCAGAAGGGAAGCATCTTAAATCTTTCATCCTATCTTCTTAAACTGTATTCAAGAAAGAGAGTTTCACGTTCTTCCATTACAAGGGACGTCCATGTCCTCATTACTTGGGAGACTGGTCTGAACACTTCTTCCAGGTCCAAGACGGCAAGGGGTATCCATCCGAGGAACAAGACGCCTGGCTTGCCGATGCTTCTGCTAGCACTTGAGGTTTCCCTGCAGAGAATGACATGCAAAAATAAGCCATGGAGTACGGTGCTTTCCAGAAATGGATTCAAAGCCTTCTGTACAGGCTGCCCATTTACTCCAGGGCAGTTTGTGTTTCTGGGAGGATGTCTCGTGAAGGATGCCACAAGACCTCTGGCTACTCCTTCTTTCTCCCTTGCCACAGAACCTTCTGGATAGGCGGCCCTAACCCCTCTCTGCTGAACACCACATTTCTGCTGCTAGGTTCCGCCTGTAGAGAGGTGAGGTTCAGCCCTCTGTGCATCTACCTGCACACCTTAAAATGATTCTTAGATTTAGGAGAGGAATCTGCAAAAAGTCCAAGGAAATGTACTCTCATCTTTTAATAGACCAAAGAAATAAAAATTATTAAAACAAATATTAATAAATGGCTGATACTACGGCCTTCTGCCTTTTCTTAACATGGCCTTTCAAAGTAGTGAAGTCAATAAAGTCACAATACTAAGGCATATTCAGAAACGATATGGAATAAATCGTTTAGCTTCTAAGGATAAACACAGAAAGAGAAACATCAAGATGATCAAAGCCAGTAGATATGAGAATAAAGTTTCAGGACATTTCAGCATATAAAAACAGTCTTGTAGCAACCCTTCTAAGTCATTACTTAGCTCTTCCTGGTTAAGGTTAATAAAGAATTAAGGAGTTGTAAGATTAAAATTAAATTCTTGGCAATTTAACTTACTTCTTACATTCAGTGTGAACATTTTGGTGAATTCAGCATCATCATTTTCTGCATGGAATATATATTCTCCAGGCTGGTGCTTATGGTTGCAAAACTTAGATATGCTGTTTGAAAAAGAGTGAAAGACAGATTTAGCCTGATTCTTCCAGGAGATGCTGCAATGCGTGACGGTGTGCATGGGAGGAGCTTCCTTAAGATGCTCCTTGCTTGCCAAAGTTCCAAGGAGGTGTCCGCATTCTAGATCACTGCTACCCAAAGTGTGGTCCACAGACAGGCAGCATCAGCATCAGGATCATCTGGAAACTTGTCAGAAATGCAAAACTTCAGGCCCCATCTCAAACCCACTGACTCAGAATCTGCATTTTAAAATGACCCCCAGAGCCAGGCGTGGTGTGCACCTGTAGTCCCAGCTACATGGGAGGCTGAGGCAGGAGGATTGCTTGAGCCCAGGAGTTGGAGGCTTTCGTGTGCTATGATTGCATCTGTGAATAGCCACTGCACTCCAGCTTGGGCAACATAGTAAGACCCTGTCTCTGTTTTTTTGTTTTTTTTTTTAAAGTCCAGGTACAGTGGCTCAAGCCTGTAATCCTAGCACTCTGGTAGGCTCAGGCAGGAGGATCACTTGAGCCAGGAGTTTGGGGCTGCAGCGAGCTATGATGCCACCACTGCATTCTAGCCCAGGCAACAGAGCAAGACCCAGTCTCAAAAAAGAAAGAAAGGAAGGAAAGAAGGAAGAAAGGAAGGAAGGAAGGAAGGAAGGAAGGAAGGAAGGAAGGAAGGAAGGAAGGAAGGTGATCTCTGTGTGATTCATACACACATTAAGGACAAGGGCTGGCTGAGGATCCTTAGAGAGAGATGGAAATTCCTGCCCCTCCTGTTCTACACATTCTAGAACAGTCCAACTTGGCAGAATCTGGAAGAACCTCTACAGTGGAGGAGCCCGTAGCTGTCCTGCTTCCTGAAATGATGGCTTGCTGGTGTTGGTCGGAGGTGGAACCTATGACCACCCCCTAACTTACATAGCAATTCACAGTGATGAGGGCTCAAATCCACTGAGTTTATTCAGAAATCCTTGCCCGAGTGGTCTCAGCAGGCTCTACTTGGAGCACTGATCGCCCACTCAGTGTTCTGACATGGATAGCCTTACGCTGGGGATCACCCACCACGCCAGCAGGCCCGTGGGTTGCTGGACACTGCAGTGACATGTTGGATAGTGAGGGAGACGTAAGGGAGCAAGGAGCTGTCAAATATGCCTTCACGGACTCACAGTGACAAAATTGGAGGAAAAGAAAGAAATTCCCTTAAAACGGAATAAGAAAACCCAAGCCTTGTTCAGAAGATATTTAATTAGACCTCCTCTATGTAGACTACCGGAAGTGGGCAGGGAGGAGGAGGAGCCAGAGGGAAAGCCAGCCTTCAACAGGGAGCTGTGCAGGATGCTGAAGACCTAAGGACACAGCTCCTGTCCTCAGGGGTACCGCAGTCCAGGCAGGTGGACGAGACATACAAGTGGAGTGGGTAAAGCATCACCCTGCAGACCAGTAGGCGAGCAAAGAATGCAAAGGTCCGCGAGCAAAGAATGCAAAGGTCCGCGTAGATGAGAAAAGCTCAGGGGCTTTCTAGAAGTAAACCTCGAGCTGGATGCTCACGGATGAGTTTCAATGAGAGAGCAAAAGGAGAGACCTCCAAGAGGAAGGCATGTGACTGTGATTGAAGGCATGGATGGGAATCGTGGCTCACCAGGACGCTCACGAGCGCAGGGGGAGGTGTTGGGACGCAGCAGAACAGAGGGGAGATGGGAGAGGTGGGGGGAATGGGTAGAGTGGCGCCAATAGGTTGGGGACCTTGAGAAACAGGCCCAAATAACTAGGCATGATGGGAAAAAGAGGAAGAAGGTGTGTGGCGTCCTGAGCGGGAGTGGAATGTCATGAGCCGGACGTGAGATTCACCTGGTGGCAGAAGGAAGAGGGGGAAGTCAGGAGGCAGTTGTAGCAGTCCAGGAGTTCGTTCATTTGCTAACTCAACTGTCACTGGGAGACCCTATTTGTGGGGGAAACGTAGGAGACAATGGAAAGTTCAAAAAATTGGCTTTCTGCTCTCACGAAATTTATGGTGGCGAAGGCAGACAAGCAAATAGGCAGCTACAGTAGAATGTGGGATACCCTCCCATGGGGAAAATAAAAGTTCAGATTTGGGGTTTCAGAGCATGGAAAGAGGAGTGTCGTCTCAGGTAGGGAAAACAGGACAGGGGAGGAAAGAGCAGACGCAGCAGGTGCAGAACAGGAGGCGGAGGGCGAAGGGCAGAACAGAATTCCGGAGAGCTGCAGCTTTCGAGCCCATGTCTGTGTGACATCAACGCACCGTGCCCTTAACTCCTGAGCCAACAGGGGATTCCGACTGTGTACAGTGATGACAGGGTTCATTTCCCTGACCTCTCAAAAGTTTCAGGCAGTTACAAGCTGAGCATTGAACAAGTTGTTGATTTGCTTTGTTAACAAGAAGGCTGAAGAAAGAAAGAGGGGAATTTCCTACCCTGACCTACTTCTGGACAAGAAGCAAATAATAGCTGGTGACCTAGAAGTGACAGGAAGATTGGGGAAAGCCCATGGTGACCCTGGGAGAGAAGGGGGCGCCGGGAAGGCCACCTCAGGCAAGCAGCCCAAGAAAGAAAGGTGCCCGCTCCAGAGTCGCAGAGTCATTCTCTCTGCACAACGGCCAAAGACCCTGAAGAGAAAGAAGAGAAGAGCAACAAGGAAGCCAGCGCGCCAGCCAGCCCCACACGGAAGGCAAGGGTCAATCAAGTGGGAAAAAGAAAGGGCCAATGCAGCTATTTACCATCATGCAGAAAAGAGCAAAATGTTTGGTAAACTTATTTCCTCCGCAGCCTTTTGTGCTGTCTTGACAGAGTGAGGTTTGCCACGGTTTAGGCGAGATAGTGCCTGAAATATTTCCACTCATCTGAACAATTTCCGGGTAGGAAATTGGTCCCATAAATCGCCGGAACACAAAATCAAATATCGAGGTTGCTTTAAACTGCTTTTTCTTCTGTTTATGACAGTTAACTCGCAACAGCAACAACAATAAGGCATCGCCCAACCCTCTGGGGATTCCAAGGGGAGTGAGCAAATTGGGGACTGGGAGAGTCAAAGCTTCCTCTTTCCCTTGGGGTTTTTCTAGAAAGGATGAGCTGCCATGAGGCGGGAATCAGGACATTCGAGTTCACAGTGAAATAATATCCTGGTGACAAAGAAGATGTGTTGTCATTACGGCTATGGAAAGAATTTTCTCCCCTGTAACCACAACGCAGGTCACTTTTATCTTCCCTTTAGTGCCTAGAGGGGAGGGGTTGAGAAAGGACAGGCTCTTTCCAGTGGCGCAAGGAGTAACTTTACCGGAAAGAATCCTTTATGCAAAGAGTAAGGGACTCTGGAAGCCAAATCAGAATGCAGAGAGTAATAAAACATGCATGGGGAAGCTGAGAGCTTCTGAAACTGCATAACGAAGAGCTGACAAGACTGAAGGTGGCTTTGCACAGTACTGAGGGACCTGGACCAGGGAGCCCTGCATTCCCATCTGCCCCAGCCCGCAGAGCCAGTGAACACAGCCTGGCTGAAGTTGAATCTGATCTGTTCAAATTTCTGTCCTGAGTTAGAGAAAGACTGTCAGGTGGAAGGAGGGTGTGCTGATGACTTTATATTTCTCTATATAAAATCACGTTCATTTTCATTTGATTTCGGGGGAGCCGACAAGGCTGGGGACAGGCGTGTACAACCGTTAAAATCTCAATAGCAAAGCATGGCACATCTCACCAGGGTTGAAAACACTTTAATTTTTAAGTAACCAAAGGGCAGGTATATATTTTTCTCTTTTCTTATATACTGGGTTTCAGAATCTCACAATTTTGAAGTGAATCGTTGTCAGGAAGCAATATAATGAAATGGTTAAAAACACAGACTTTGGAGCTAACTGCTTTTTCTGGAATCCCAACTCTGCCCTTGCCCGGTAGTGTGACCTTGGGCAAGTCACTTAACCTCTCTGCACCTCAGTTCCTTGACTGTAAAATGAGGATAACAATAGTAACTCCTGTTACCGAAAACTCGCACTTGTCTCCATCAGAAGAATGAGAACAAGTGGTTTGAGAAGGAAAGAGAAGTGTACTACTTTGCCCACAAAGCAGGAGGATGGAGACTCCAGTCTGAAATGCCATTGTCCTGATAATAAGCAAAAATATAAAGCTTTTAAAGGGAGGCCATTCAGCTTCAGACAATTGCTGTTCAACTACAGCCACCTCCTGTAGCACAAATAACAAAAGACTCACCCTGCCCCTCCCACCCACTGGCCTGAGGCAGGGATGCAGGTTTTAGTTCTCAAAAAGGAGTGCAGGATGTTTTAAAGAGACAGAAAATATTTTTTGCTGTTTTTTCAGGCCACTCCCACTATCTCATATACTTCTTAGAGAAATTTTCAGGATAAAAAAGTACTTATGCATAAAGTGCTTACAATACATAATAAACAAAAAGGTACATTAGATTATCATTACTATGAGGCTTATCAAGGCCAGGAATCATTTTGAATAAAAAAAAATAAATTCAAGGACCAGCTTTGATCTCTGCTAAGAGTATTCTAAGTGATGTCATTTGAGCAGGACTGGATTTTAAGCTGAAGCACAATATCTACCTGTTTTTCTCCCTCTCCTCCTGTGTATTATGGTGTTTAAAACAAATATTTTTGGCATTCCACCCCCTAGGAAAAAAGATAAATAAATAAAATAAAAATTCAGGGGCCGGGTGAGGTGGCTCATGCCTGTAATCCTAGCACTTTGGGAGGCAGAGTTGGGAGGATCACTTCAGGTCAGGAGTTTGAGACCAGTCTGAGCAAGAGCCAGACCTCATTTCTACTAATAATAGAAAAAATTAGCCAGGGGTGGGGGCATGCACCTATAGTCCCAGCCACTCAGGAGGCTGAGGCAGGAGGATTGCTTGAGCCCAAGAATTTGAGGTTGCTGTGAGCTATGATGATGCCACCGCACTCTAGCTCCAGCAACAGGGTGGCACCCTGTCTCAAAAAAAAGTCTTAAAAAAAGAAATTTAGAAGCTTTACTCTG